GTGCCCTAAAAAGGCCCCCAGCATAAAACACAACAAAGTAATACAAGAAATATGAAAAAAAAATAAGGTAACACAACACCTACTAAAGTTCACCAGCAATGGATTCCAAAGATACATAAGTGTATTAAATAAATGCCAAATAAAGAATTATTATAAAATGATCAACGAATTCCAAGAAATCAGAAAAACAACCGAATAAATTAAGGAAGTCAATATAGGATATGCATGAGAAAATCAATAAGGAGATATCAATATTGAAAAAGAACCAAAAAAAATCTTGGAAATGAAAAACCAAATAAATCAAATAAAATGTTCAGTTGAAAGTCTGTTTAATAGACTATACCAGGGTAAAGACAGAATCTTAGAGTGGGAAGACAATGTAGCCAACCTTGAACAGACAGTATTAAAGAAAATGAAATAAGTAACAATGACCAAAATATACAAGAACACTAAGATAAAATTAAGAGAACAAATTTGAGAATAGTTAAAATTGAAGAAAATTATAAAATGTAGGCTAATGGCATGGATAATCTCTTTAGGGAAATAATAACAGAGAAATTTCCAAATCTTGAGAATGAAATGACATCCAAATACATTCAGAATCCCAAACAGACAAGGTCAAAAAAGATCCTCTCCACAACACATTATAATTTAATTCATATAATTAAATATATAATCATAATTAACATACAGAAAAAGGATAGAATTTTTAAAACTTCAAGAGGAAAAATGTCAGGTCACATTTAGAGGCAAGAAAATCAGAATCATGTCTGATTTCTCAGCACAAACTCTGAAATCCATGAGTGCTTGAAATGATGAGTTCCAAGCCCTGGAAGAAAATAACTTTCAACCAATATTGCTATATTCAGCAAAATAATCTTTTGGAATCAAAAAATTTAAAACTTCAAAGATAAGCAGAAACTTAAACAATTCCTATGAAGCTGTCACTATAGAAAATATGTAAAAAAATAATACACATAGAAGAAATCAAAAACAAACTCCAGAGCCCACAAATGGACAGATCTCATTTGAAGAGTATCTAAGCAAATGCGAAACAGGACCAAATAAACATTAGAAATAAAAAAAATATCAGGACTAATAAACATTTCTCTCTCTCTCTCTCTGATAACTGATAACTTTGAATTTATTGACTTCAACTCTCAAATTAAAGACATAGGCTGGAAGAATGGATTAAAAACAGATTCAACTATATGGTGTTTGCAAGAGACCACCTTATGGGCAGAACAACCACAGAGTGAAAGTGAAAGGAGAGAAATTGATATACCATGCAAATAGAGCCCAGAAAAAAACACGAGTATCTATTCCATACTCAACAAAGCAGACTTCAAACCAAAATTAATCAGAAAGGACAAAAGTTAATTTTTACTAGTAAAGTGTACAATCAAACAAGAAGATATAATGATAATAAATATTTATACCCCAAATGTCAGTCCACCTAATTATATAAAACCAACACTGCTCAAAGACTCAGACAGACCCCATTAGAATAATACTGAGTGAATTCGACATGCCTCTCACCAATAGAGGCATGTTGAATTCACTCAATATTGATAGGTGGAATAACTCTTTAGACTTAATATTATAAATCAAATGGACTTCACAGATGTCTATAGAATATTTCACACAACAAAAGATTAATTAATTTTCTTTCCAGTAGCTAATGAAAACTTTCTTCAGAATAGACCATATTTTTGATTGCAAAGCAACTCCTAGCAAATATAGAAAAATCAATGTAATTCCTTGCATTTTATTTGATCACGATGAAATTAAATCAGAAACCAACACCAAACTATATAGACACATAGCATTAAACAATGCAATTTGAAGTAATGAATGGGTGGTCAAAAGCAAGGAAAAAACTAAAAAATACTTAGAATCAAATGATCATAGTGACATAAGATATTAGGACATAAGATATTAGAACCTGTGGTACACTAGGAAGAAATTTTATAGTTATGAGTGCTTATAAAAGAAATCTAGGAGCCGGGCACAGTGGTGCACACCTGTAATCCCAACAGCTCAGGAGGCTGAGGAAGGCACAAGATCAAAGCCAGCCTCAACAACTTACTGAGGGCCCAAGCAACTTAGTGAGACCCTGTCACAAAATTTAAAACATAAAAATAAAAAGGGCTGGGGATGTTGCTCAGTGGGTAAGCACCCCTGCATTCAAACTCTGGTTTACAAAACAAGAGAAAGAAAAAAAGAAAGAAAGAAAGGGAGGAGGGAAGGAAGGAAACCAGAAATATCCTAAATAAGCCAATGACTCATTTTGAGATACATGAAAAACAAGAGCAAACTAATTTCAAAGCTGAAATCAATAGAGAATAAAAAAATACAAAGGATTAATGAAATGAAGAATTGGTTCTTTGAAAATAAATTGAAAAACCCTTAGCCAAGAAGGAAAAACACTCAAAAAAACCCCTAATTAATAAATTAATAAATAAGTAATTAATTATTAATTAATAATTAATTAAATTAATAAATTTTGAGATGAAAAAGGAAAGATCACCACAGATATCACAGAAATCCATGGGATTATTAGGGACTATTTTGAAAACCTATATTCCAATAAACTGGAAAATCTAAAATAAGTGGATACATTTCTAGAAACATCTATGAGTAGAATCTTCAGTCATTAGGACTATAGAATATTCTAGAGAGGAATTATAAAAGAAACTTAAGATAACTGTCCCTTTTCTCAAAGAGTTAATAATTAGGAGACCTTATTATTAAATTTATTACTGTTATCACCATTATTATATAAAGTCTCAGAAAGTTTGTTATTATAAATAATATCTAGCCAAGTGAAATCACCTAAATTGCAAATGACCCAAACATAAGAACACAAAGTAATTATGGACTCCATCAAACTTGTAAGAGGTGTAGTGTCCCAGGAAAGCCTGAGGTCATCAGAGGTGCTTGTCCGTCATAAGCACACGCCAAGGGAGGAGTGAGCCGGCTGAGGTGCTGGGGCATGAGAGAGGACCCTGAGCTCAGCAGAGGAACAGGCAAGACTTGGAATGAAATTCAAGCTGCGTGTTCTGAGGAAAAGAGCACACAAGAATTGGGGCAGTTGCCAACTGCTCTGACCTTTATTTTTCTTATAAAGTGGGAACAACAATCACAATTATAATAATTTCCACTTTACAGGAGTATGATGACAATTGGGACGGGGTCTGTGAACCTGTCTTAGGATGGTGAAGATGATGGCGCTGAAGGTGATGTTTCCCCTTTGCTGTGAAAATCACTTCTTCCTGTTGCAGAAACAGATCCTCCCTGCTCATTGCCCCTCCTCAGAGCTCATGCCTTTACACAGCCTTCGGCTTGTGAGCAGCAGAGCGCAGAGTTTCCAAGGAGCCCCTGGTGGAGCTGGGAGGAGTGCTGGCAATCGAGCCTGCTATTTGGCCAACCAGGGTCTGCATTTGCAATCTGTTTGATTTTGTTTCCTTCTTGGAGCCATAAGGAAATGTATTTATTTAAAATGTGGAATCCGTCCTTTCCATATGCCCTTCTCTTCCCTCTAAGGGTTTATAATCTAGCCTCACACATACAAACACATATGCAAATACACATGTACACAAACACAGACCGAACATGGCGAAAAGTCAGAACACGGCTCTCATGTCACATTTAGGCCATATTCATGGATTCCACAACATCTGTTGAAAATCAAGTATCTGCCAGGCCTGGCACTGAGCACCACAGCGCTGTGCAGCAGGCTACTCTGATTTATTAGTTTCTAATCAGGTGACAGTATTATGCAGTAAAAACACAATGCAATCAGCTGGCCTTATCTATCAGCTGTTAAATAAGTTCATCCTGGTCTACTGGGTTCAACTCGTTATTAATCTATTTGTGAAGTCACTTTATCTATTTACATAGGGTATATCTTTGATGTCACAGGCACGATTATACTAGAAACCAATTGGATATTCAAGGGCAAGCAGCTTTGCCACCAAATAAGATGATGTCATTCTTCCTGATGACAAACAGGAAGGGGTGATCAGCTCTAAACACTTAATGGCTTATAGTCATATTTATGAATCATTTTCTCATGAATTTAAATACTAGTACTTATGATTAGCTCATCAGTCTGTAGAATTGTAAAAGTGACTTTATGTGTCATAAATTAGTGAAATTGAACCAAATCAGACTTATTTTACAAAAAAACATTTTTTTTTCCTTTCATAGAATTTTTGTTTGGGCGAGGAAAAAAAAAAGAAAGTTCTGATAGTGTCACAACTGGTTAGAGGAAAACAATCACACTATACAGATGTGGTATTTTCTTTATTTTGATAAATAAAGGGAAAACGTGTGAACTTTACAACATATGAACCAACAGGTGAAGGTGCTTAATATCTGAAAAACTATGTACATACATATTAAGTCTATTAAGGAAAGCCCAAAGGTGACAACTTAAAATCATTAATAAAATATTTTTGTTGGTCCCCAATCCCAATTCCATAGTTTTTTAGCATATAGACTATACATTGAGTTAAAATCAAATGTATTAAAGTCAGCTTTCATGTCTTCTAAGGTCAGCCAGGAAGTTTTCCTTCACACTGATTTCTAGGAAACACCAGTCTTAGTTCCCAGATCATTCAGAACCAAGCTAGAAAATCTGCAGTGTCTAGAGTTTCAAAAAGGATTCCTAGTGCTGCTTCTACCTTCTCACTGCCTGTAAGCAAGCTCCATCATCCCTAGATAGGCTATAGAGAAGAATGGCAGGAAGGAGTGTGGGTGGAAAGCCAATGAAATTAGAAACCAGGGACCAGATGGAAGTAGAAAGGCTAAGCTCAGGGATCAAGACAACCAACCAGGCATCTGAGAGGGGTTGGGTCACCGAAATTATCTGCTGGCCAATGTTAGGAAGAAATAAAGTTAAAGGAACACCACACGATTCCAACTCAGCAAATCTATTTACATAGGGCATATCATTGATGTCACAGGGACGATTATACTAGAAACCAATTGGATATTCAAGGGCAAGCAACTTTGCCACCAAATAAGATGATGTCATTCTTCCTGATGACAAACAGGAAGGGGTGATCAGCTTTAAACACCGTCGAGTCAGGGAGCTGCTTTTCCACAATGTTATTTTCTGTGGCAGCAGTTGCCTCTGAGCCCTCCTCGGTGACCTCTATGTAAGACTTGTGCATTAGTTTTGATATATAGAGGCGACCTCCTGAAGCTATTCCAGAGAGATCAGCTCTGGACTCATCAAACATATCCTTCAGCCCCAGGGTGCTCAAATGCCCTTTCATTTCATAGTTCTTCTCTATCTTGAACTTCGGAAGAAACACCTCCACATACTGAGAGGTCATTTTTCTTGGATTGGTCCACTTCATTAGATTCCGAAAGGACAGTTTGTTCTCAACCTGTAGGAATATTGTAAATGTCATTTAGAATCTTATGGTTAAGAAAATATGAAGCAATAGCTGCCAAGATAAACGGTTTTCCATTATTACCCCCTCTTGAATTTGTGAATTTAGGTATATGAATGGGAACTGGAGGAGCCTGGGAAGGGAATGTGATTTAAATGATAGTTCAAGTACATTTAAAAAAATAAACCCCATGTTTAATTTCTCCCCTATGATGAGGCCTGACTTGCAAGCACTTCCTATCTTCTCTGTTCTCTGCCCACATAGGAACAGATACAGCCAAAGTGAAATATGGCTAGATGAAGGATCCAATTGAAACAAGAGCTCGGCAATCATTTAAACCAGAGTTTTGTAATCATTTACCTTTCACAAAAGACAGAAAATAATAATGTTTGCACAACTTACAGGAGTAAATCAATGAAAACCAAGGTGGCTTGAATAAAAAGATCCAGAGCCACAGCCCTGGGAGCTTGGTGACCAATATCCACAACCCCAGGGAGGTCTGGATCCAATAACTCTCTTGGCCAACACATGAGAAGATGGAATCTCAAGGGACATAGGGAGGTGTGCCCGGGGTGCACAGTGCACAACCTCAGTTACACAACCAGGAGCCCACCCTTCCCTCCAATGCCGTTGCTGCCCCAAACGACAACTCACAAATTGAATTTGCCGGCTCTTGGATACTAAGAATTGATCATAGATTCTTCCAGATTTAGAATGGGGAGATTTTTCATGAACATTTTCAGAAATCTCATATATGGGCATTCTTTTCAAATTCAGATTCAACTGAAATCTTTACATACCTTTTCATATACATTAAGCTTCACTTGTATTTTTATTAAGAACATTGAATTCAAATAATCAAGTTTAGTACATTTGAAAATTCTGTGTGTAAATTTTCCAGTTTGTGGCTAATCTATAATGATTTTTTATTCTAAACTGAGTTTTTTTCTCAGCTTACTAAGTGCCCACTTCCTTATCATTATCTGATTATGCAGAAATATAAGTATTTGAGCTTTTGTAGTGTGAGAATTTTTATGAATCTAATTCACATGTTATTAGGTAAATTATTATAGGAAAAATCTCAGACAATAAGTACAAGAACAAATTTTCTCTTCTGCCAATTTTTGTTTCATATGGGCTACTTTCTGCACTAATGCCAATATTTTAAGGTAAAACAATTATGTGTGGTAAAATATAATTGTTATGAAGATTATCAAGTGAATTGTTCAATTAATGTGAGTATCACTATCATGTTTTAGATTTTAATCTTCATTTTTCTCTGTGGTTCCTTACTAAAAAGAATATTAAGATTAAAAAAAAAACTAAAGAAAGTCATTACAATAATTCAGGGGTCTTCTATGTAGAAACTGAATTTCCAAAGCTATAAAGTTTTGTTTTTAAATCATAGGAAAAAGATGGACTGGAGAGTGGATGCATTGGTTTTTTTCACTGTTTCTACTTTCCAATTATATTACAATGAATTTTCCAGATCAAAACATAGCCAATATTTTAAATTGCATTTGTAACTTTTTACTGTAGTTGACATACGTACACACACACACACACACACACACACACACATATATTTGCACATATGCAGCTGTGAGACAAATTAAATCCCACAAGCCTCTTTTCCCTTTCTCACACAGTTGCTGTTAGAATCAAATGAAATAGTAGAAATGAAATGGAGAGCCCATGGCCTGCAATGTAGGAGGTATTCAATTAATGGTGTCGATTATTTATTTTTATTGAGAGAGCAGGGAAGGGAGAGGTGACCAACTAAGGCCTCTGGGATGGCAGGTCACAAACAGAAAGAGCCAAGTTCAGGCGGAGGATAAATGGAAGAAGGGCTGGAAGAAAAGCAGGATCTGAGATAGAGTGACGACACCTGGTTTGCTCAGCCACCACTGTCTGTTCCTGCACTGTGCTGGTCTGTTTCTCCTGTGACATCCCTAATCACCACTTGGCACCAGAGACACAGCGGCACAGTCTGATGCTATACATTTTCATTCTCCAAAGGCTCATGATGCCAGTATTTCCTGCCAACTGAAGGTGGTTGGCCAAACAAAAATTTCATAACATTAAAGACTCTTCATAACCAAGAGTTAAAAAGACCTAAGCTCATGTGTTTTGAACTCCATGGCTAGATCTGAGAGTGTCCAAAGTTTATAGCTATTCAACCACTGTTGTGATAAACTGAGATATTTCAGTCTCATCATCTGTAACGGTGTTTGGCACATTCGTAGGTACTCCTTAAATATTTGTCAAATAAATAGGTAAGTATCTAACATCCTAACCTGAAATCTTAAAATTGATGGACAAAAACACAACCAAGTGTTTCCTAAAGGTCTTAATATTCCCCAGGAGTGGAAGTGACCAGTCACTTACTTGAGATAGGTCCTTCTCGGGCAGCAGAATGTACATGCTTATGCCACCGTGATACCTGAGCTGGAGAACCTGCATGGATGGATCCTGAATAGTGGACAAGTTGAACTTCCGCTCTTGATGCATCATGGCAACTGGCTTCCCAGGACACTGCAAGTCAAGTCACAAAAAGTAATTCATAATCCCACTTACTTTACTTACTGGTTGAGTGCATATGAAAAATATTATACTTCTTGGTCAAAGCTGTAGACTTTTTCTGACATGCTGCTTTCATTGGGGCACAGCCTAGTTGTAAAAGCACAGGCTTTGAGTTTACCCTCTGGTCTCAACTGTGTGACTTGGATAAGCTACTTCTTACCTGTATCTCCATTTCCACACCTACATGATGGAGATGGCAAGAATTCTTGCTGCAGTGGATTATGAGGACTGTGTCAGCTAATGTATTAGCAGCTAGAACTTGGCCTTGCACTTACTGTTATAACTGAAAAGTCTAACAGGCAATGGATAATTACTAAATAGTAATACAGTGAAAATGAATGCTATGGATGTTCTCTCTTATCAGAATAAACTACAGACTAGGATTATCAAAATGACACAGTTTAAAGATGAAGTCTTGGAAAATTAAAAATTCCTGCAAAAGATTTGATAGTATCCCTTAAGTTCACTTGAAGAAGCACAATAGCTATTGTCTCAAAGATGCTGTTCATAGATTTAGGAACACCAGAGAGATGTAATGGACTGTCTTTTTGCTAATGATATTATAATCTGCAAACTTGTCAACATTTCTTACAATACCTCCTTTCAGGACAAATGGTTTTACATGGGGAGGTCATTTCTCTGTCCTTGAACCAAAGATCCTTCTCCCTTGGGAAATTTGCCCCTTTTGACTTACAATCTGATCCTTAGAAAGGACACACATAAGCAGTAAAGAGGTAGCATTTGCCCAGTGAGTCAGGTCAAAATAATTGAGCTTGGTATAAGTGGGATAAGGATTTCATACCATAACATTATATTTTCTATACTGGGGCAGGGAAAGAATTACACATGCTAAAGGGGTGATTTCACCAATTTTTAATTTGGTGCAACCAACATTAATGCCATTAATCAAGATTCCATAGCCTAGTCCATGATAGAACACACAGTCTCTCTCTCTCTCTCTCTCTCTCTCTCTCTATATATATATATATATATATATATATATATATATATATATATATAAATACTTTAAAAAACAAAACTCTATTAGAAGCAAAAAAAAATCCAGGAGACAGGAATGTTTTGTGCTTTGCCTTCACTGTTGGAAAGGAGGAAACAAATGGAATTTACTATAGAACTATACCATCAACTGGGGAAAAGGCTGAGGAAAGAGTGGGAAACTCAGTCACTGAAATTCTAATACTCCCTAGTGTGCTTCATATTACTATTATCCAGTTAATATCTTTAGAAGACAGAGCTGTATTTTGTTAGGATTTATTATATTTATTATTTTGTCATATGCGATTTTCAAAATATATCTGTGCCAAACTCTTTCTTCTCATAGAGACACACACACCATGAATTTGCTCCACTAGGCTCTGACTTAGGACCCCAGGTCGGGGACACACAGCAGGCCTGGCCTGCAGTCCAGGCAGCCAACGCAGGGTGCAGTCTAGTCCCAGTTCTGCTCTGCACTGGTGTCTCTCCTGGCTCTCCCTGGAGTTACCATACCTGCACACAGCGCCTGCTTAGGTTGCCTTTTACTTCCCTCCTCCTGACTCATTCACTTATCTTTAATTGCTATCAGCTCCCAGCATTTCCCGGTCCATAACTTCCAATAGAAGGTGCAGACAGACTATACCAAAGAGAAATACCAAAATACCACTTGGAAAATAAAACTAAATTTAAAAGTTAAATCTGAGTTTCTCTGCTTCAACATAAAAGGCTGAGTGATTGAAAAGAATCTTGAATGTCAACTAAACAAATCACTTTGTTTTGCGTAGGAAGAGGTGGTCCACCACAGTTCACTTGCCTCGGCCAACACAGCTTCAGTAAAGCTAGGCAGGGACCCCAACATGGGTGATTCCAAGGCTTCTGATGTTTCCCCTATACTATTACAAACTAAATACTGAACCAAGAGTCAATGCTTAAGCTTTGTAATAAGATGCTTTATGTTAAAAAAATAACTATTTAAAGAAATAGGTATATTTGTAAAGACATAAGTTTACTAAATATAACTTCATCCTTTATCAAAAGAAATATATCCTTTCTTTGACTCAGGAAAATTATTGATGATAAATGAGTGTTGGAGCCCACACTTTAAAAACACATAAAATAACATACACTTTTGTTGTGTTTTCTTTTCCATAGTCTTCCAATTGGAATATCTTAAAATAAATTCATACTTTAATACTTGTTTCAATAGGGAATATGTCTAAAGATATATCAGTTTACAAAGATCCCTTCAGTGTGTTTTGTAACCTATACTAGCATTTGCTTTATAAAGCATTGCTTGGTAATGCAGAAGAAATGGAAAGCCGACCGTTTGCCTGTGTAAATACCACAATTTCCTGCAAAGAAATACTAGTGGGGGAAAGCCTCCCATGTAATGCAGGAGATGTACAAACCTTGGGAGAGTTGAACCGGCAATTTAAGGTCTCGTTCTTGGTGAAGGCCAACTCCCACTGGCCCTTGAAGTACACCGCATTTATCAGCACCATGACCGCGGAGGAGCTGATGCTGCCATCGCTAAACACCTTCTTTATTTTGCCTTTTAAAAAATAAATTGAGGGAAAAAAATTAATTCTTAATGTAAATGTAAAAACTGCTTTCAAAGATCATTAATGGGCATGAAGTCTTTCTCCAACCAAGTAATAATCACACTGATAACCATGATTATTAGTGATAACCTATAGGTAATTAATGGGTCTAGCACTTTCTAAATGCTTCAAGTGCAATATTGGTTGAATCTTTCTAAAATCTCTATGGGGCAGACATTATTATTATTTGTTTTCTGTTAGAAAACTGGGACACGGAGAGATTAAGGAACTAATATAAAGTCACACCGCAAGAAAGCAATGGCAATAGGATTTCCTACCTGGGATGAAAATTCCCAGAGCCCCTGTTCATAAGCACCAAATGGCCTTTACTGCACTGATAGGGCCACCTGGGCTACTGCGGCACTCCAAGTATAGATAACTTCATTCAGCTGAAAGGGCTGATTCTTTCCTCATTCCTTATTAATGAGATTTTTGCTAGATGCCATCCACTATTCTGGGTACTTGAATTGAAACCATGAAAGTCATAGCCCATGCCACCTTCCAGCCCATAGTTTAAACACAGGGGATTTAACAACCTGACCAAGCAGTTGGGACATTCCAGTGGCACACAGGTGGGATCCGTGAGCTACAGGGGTGCAGGTTAGGATTCATCACCATGGAAAGGGCTGTCTGCTTGAGTTTGAGGGCACTTTAAGGGGGCAAGGGGAGCTTCCATAAAGCAAGACTGATTATTCAAAGATATGGAATCCTGGAGGGGAAGTGTATTTGGAGAAACCCTAATTCATCCCTATGTGTCAGGGAGAAGGAGAAGCTGGAAAGGTTGAAGGAAGGTCTGGTAAGAATTCTGGATTATCCTGAAGGTGATGGGGGCCATTCAGATTTCACTGAAAGACAAGGAAAGGCAGGTCATGATGGATGAGATCGACTTCTCAAACAGATGGCTCTGGTGTTGTGAAGAGAGAGGGGCAGTAAGACGCGGGTGGGTTGTTTAGAGTATTGGCAAGGGTATGGAGTTTCTTTCCCAAATAAATGTTGAGGACATATGCTTATACAAATGATAATCACATATAGGTTTGTATGAGAAAGAGAAATAAATAACTGAGACAAAGGGGAAAAGATACTATCAATGTGATACCTTTAAATATTTAATATTACATAGAATAACTGAATAATAAATCTAGAGGAACTATGTAATTGTAATGGAATTCAGTTATTGGAAAAGTAACAATTACATAGTTCTTCTAGCTTTATTATTCACTTGTGCTAGCTAAGGACCAAAGTAATTCACTACTGATATAATGATGAATGAACAAACAAAAAGGAAATTGAGACATTGTATTCTTATTCCCAGGGTTAACTATATGCTGCTAAACCTTTGCTTTAAGAGTGTTAAATTATATGTCTCACATTTCTGAAGCAAAGAGACTCAATAAATACAGTTTTAATGCTCAGAGTACAAATCAATTCTTAAGTAAAGAAATAACTACTATCTTTTAAATCGGTTGATTAACAAATGATGCTAAGTTTCCTTATTTGTTTTGCAATAAACAAAAACATTAAATAGAATTTAATTTTTAGTTGTGAAAAAGATTTACCAATAAAGAGTTGTACTTTTTCTGGAAGATAACTCCTTTGCCAAATATGTTATTTTGATAAATAAAGCAAATTTTAAAAGGAAAGATAAACTGTACATCCTTTAGAGAAAGCAATGACATGAAGATATATTTCTGTGACAGTAGAACATTATCACTTTAATAAAATCCAGACCAAGAAGGAGCAGTCACGTATGAAAATTAACCCAACCCTAACAAGGGGTGCACTATTAGAATGAAATGCTATGTTGTGGTCATGGAAAAGTGCTGTAAACAAATCTTAGATCTTGTTCTCTAACTAGTGAAGATTGAGATTGATTCCATAGATTACATCAGGTTATTGTTGGTTTATAAAAAGGTCATAATAATATGTTTGTCTCACAAGTTTATTTCCCAGTCAAAAGAGATATTACACAAAACAAGATTTCTGAAAAGTAGAAAGCATTCAAAATATTAAGGGTTACTCAAAACCATATTGCAGAAAAATATTAAGGAAGTTTTAAAGAACAATAACCATGACTCGGTATTGACAGGAGCCATTCCTTATATACACAGAAACTCCCAGCTTTAACGTTGACAGTCCTCAATGTTCACATATAACTGACATATCTTGTAGAAAATTAAGACATTGCACTCACCATGTGTCTCATTTTCGATCCATTTATTAATCTTGTTTCTGGTATCTTCTACATCATTTGTAAAGTCCACCCGTTCTACTTTGGCATCGTATAATTTTTTAGCACATGCAATGTAGTTCTATAAATAAGAACACAGAGCTTGTAGTTACAAATCACCACTAAGTACATGAGAAATGTATCTTTGAACCTGTATCATGATTTCTACTGCTTTATTCACAGCCCCACCCACACCTCAAACATGAGTAAATGTAGCTGGATACATAACAAGATGGCTGGAGAGGGTCTGGTGAACGTGAAGTTGAATTTGTATAGCAGACTTGCTCTTTGGACTTCATTTTATCTCAAAAGATTGCAGAGGCTAATGGAGAATATGCCTAAGGCCCACCCCCTTGGTTTACCCACTGCTGCCTCATTAAAAACCCCCAACAGCCGCCTAACCCGCCCCATCCAGGCTAATTACTGCACATAAGAGAAAACCAAGCCCTTGGACTCAGCCCTCCAGACTCTGACCTATGCCCAACTTGCCTCATTGCCAGTCACGTTCCCCTTCATCCTCTGCCCTCTCACCACCCCCAGTTCCTTACAGTCCCTCAAAAGGGCATCTGTGTGCCCTCTGTCCCTTGAAGTCTTTGAACAACATTCCTTCTTCCTGGAATGTCCCACATTTCTCATGGTTTTCTTGCTCATTTTCCCAATATCACTGCCTCTCTTTGACAAATGTCTTTCCAAGATCCCTTCTATGTCTCATAACAGTCACTTTACCTTCTGTTTCTTTTCTTTTTTAATTGGAAAGAACATTTATAAATCTTTATGGGGGATATTGTGATAATATAACACTTACATTCAATGTGTAATGATCAAATCAGAGTAATGAGCACTTCCATCTCTTTAGACATTGATCACGGCTATTATAATACATCTTATTTGCATTTGAGCCCTTAACATGAAGTAAGGACCCTATATGCCTTGCTTATTATTATACTCCTACCACCCAGCATGTTGTCTTGCACGAAATACATGCTCAGAATTACTTGTTTTTAATAAAAGCATGATTACTTAATTTATCAGTATAATTTCCCCCAAAATGTATGTATATATATTTAATATATACACATGTGTATAATATGTATATAATTTAATATATATATATAATGTGTATATATATATAATAATGAGTGTATATATTTAACATATATATACACACACATTTTGGGAAAATTTTTTCATAATTGGAAGAGAAAAGATTTAATGCAAATTATAGGTATTGCCAGTGGGTATACTGACAAATTACATAGGATTTTCAATTCTAATAAGGATCATCTGGTTATTCATGATCTACCTACAGGATGAGATGAGCTCTATGATGCAAGCTTTGTGTACAATATCCATGGATAGGGCTCTTTCCATCTACTGATTAATTCATCCATCCACCCATCCATCCACTCAGATACTGGTTACAAAGAGCAGTTTTAAAGAGCCAGTCTACTGCCTAGATAAGTTGATAAGTGCAAGATATCAGCAAGGAATGAGGTTGCTCAAGAAGAAGGGCTGGGAATTACATAGAGGCTATTCTTTACCACTCCCAGAAAACCCTGGAAAAGCTACAGGCCACTATATGCATTTATACCTTTTATACATCCTTAACCTTCTTCAAAGACTATTGCTTATGTCCTTAAAAGTAGACATAAATAGACATAAACTTAAATGACACAAAGAGTAGAATTCATGGTAATTTACAAGAGCTCAATTCCACCTCAAGAATTTGGTGTTTTAAAGCATCTACAATGAGTGACTTCACAACTAACTCAAGTATTACCTGGTCCTATCTGAGATCATAATGCTGCTGGTCAATTCTTCTCTCACACCTCAATGACGCTCTCCCCTATTCTCTACTTCAGTTGTTCCAATAAACTAGTCATTTTCTTCAGATATGTAACCCCTCTGCATCTCTATCAGCTAATAGTGTTATATTCTACTTCTCTGTGGTCAAGGTCATTTTAGATTACTATCTCTATCTCTGAGAAATAAGTATCCCTCTCTTTCAAGGAAAAACCTGGGCCATTAATATTATCTGTGATTGTTAATTGTATGTGTCAATTTGACTGGGCCATGGGGTACTCACACAATTGACCGAACATTATTGTGCATGTATCTGTGAAGATGCTTCCAGATAAGATTAACATCTGTATCAGCAGACTGAGTAAAGCAGAATTTCTCCATGTAATGGGTATTGATGGGCCTTTGTTTTGTTTTGTTGTCTTTTGGAAGAATTTCAGAAAGATTAGTATTAGTTCTTTAAAAGTTTGGTATAATTCAGCATTGAAACCATCAGGTCCTGGACTTTTCTTTGATGGAATACACCTGATTTATAATTCAATCCCTTTACTCATTATTGCTCTGCTCAGATTTTCTATTTCTTCATAATTTATTCTTCCCAGGTTATATGTTTACAGGAATTTATCCATTTCTTTTAGATCATTCATTTGTTGGCAACTAATTGTTCATATCAGTCTCTTAAGATCATTTATATTTCTGGGGCATCAATTGCAACATCTTCTTTTTCATTTCTCAGTGTTTCTTTTTCCTTAATAGTCTAGTAGAGGTTTGTCAGTTTAGTTTATTTCTATCAAAAAGTCAACTCTTAGTTTCATTGATCTTTTTGGTTGTTTTCTAGTATCTATTTCATTTGTATCTGCTCTGGGGTTTAGTATTTCCTTCCTTCAGCTAATTTGTGGCTTAGTTTGCTCTTTCTCTAATTCATTGAGATGTAGTATGAGGTTTTTTTTTTTATTTTTTTAGCCTTTTCTTCCTATCTGATTTAGGCATTTACTGTTATAACCTTCCTCCCATGACCACCTTTCTGCATCTCATAAAATTTGGTGTGTTGTGTGTCCAGTTTACTTTATCTCAAGCTATTAAAAATTTATCTTTCTAAACTCTCTATAGACCTAACCATTGGTGGTTCAGAGGGAAAATGTTTTTGTTTTTGCTTTTCTCTAAGACCTGAAATTTTTCTGTTACTTTGAAAGTATTTTAAATAAGTGTTTTGGTTTTGTTTGTTTGTTTGTTTTGTTTTGTTTTTAAGTAGAAAGAAGCACTACAAAGCTTAGGAAAACAAGAGGAGTCAGAGGTGACCTGATACCCAATGGGTCACTCATTAAAAGAGAACAAGGAGAGACAGAAGGTACAGGATCAGGAGATTTGCTGTGTTTAGGAAACTGCAGATGCCAACTTGAGGACTTACATGGGGCAGGGATACAGTTGAGCCTGGCATTAAGGAATAAGTGACGGCTTGTCACATGACTGTGGAGAGATGCAAAAATACAGAGGACAGCCTCCAGAAACTCTATACTGTATTCATAGATCACCTCTCCCTATGTAAGAAGGTGGATCAAAAGTGGAAGATGACCAAGTCAAACCCCTAAAGAACATTCACATTTTAAGAAATATTAGAGAAAAGATGATAAGCTGAGGAGATTGAGATGAAGCGACTGGAGGAGAAAGTAGAAAAGCTGGGAGAAATTAATGTTATAGAAATGATGAGAGGAGGGCTGGAAATGTGGCTCAAGTGGTAGCGCGCGCTCGCCTGGCATGCATGCAGCCCGGGTTCGATCCTCAGCACCACATACAAAGATGTTGTGTCTGCCGAAAACTAAAAAATAAATATTAAAATTCTCTCTCTCTCTCTCTCTCTCTCTCTCTCTCTCTCTCTCTCTCTCTCTCTTAAAAAAAAAAGAAATGATGAGAGGAGAAATTTCCAGGGTTATCAACAGGGTTGCCAAGAGTCTATCTGGGATGGGAGACTGTGGCACAGTAGTGGCAACCGCATACTTCGAGGCTTTCCCAGGAACACTTGCTGAGGAAATTTGTGGCATTGGTATGAATTTTGAGGTTTGCTGGAGAAGGAGGGAGTTGGGAAGAGAGTGGTTAAGGAATGGATCCATGAGAAATTTGGTATAATGGTGAATATGTTCAGAAAAATTGGAGAAGTTAAGAGACTGAGTAACAATCAAAACAGCTGAAGAACAGGTAGAGTGGAAGTGAAAGAACAAGAAGCCTGGGATCCTATGGATACAGAGATGATCACCTATGAAAACAGTAAGGAGAGAGGATCAGGGAACAGAAGCCAGCAAGTAGGGCCGACTATCCACTTGTGTGGTTGTCCCAATCCACAGCCACAATGAAGTTAGCCAGACAGTGGCAGCAGTTGAGGGAACATGGAATGGCATTTATAGAAGTGTGGCCCAAGTCATATTCAGAACAGATTGGGAACAAAAGGGAGAAGAAGATATCAGATATGACCGTTGAGTCTTCTATGAGTGGAAAAGGCATTATGGATCAAAATCTAAATAGCTTGGCAATTATTGAAGTTTTTGCTGATTTAAAAATGATTAAAATGTTGTGATTCATTACATTTAAAATAAAAAGTACTTTTTAGAATAACTAATGGCATTGCTTCCCCTTACCACCTCTCTGCCCAGTATTGTGGGTTGAACCCTGTGGTGCTTTACCACTGAGCTACATCCCCAGACCTTTTTAATTTTTCATTTAGAGAGAGGGTCTCATTAAGTTTCTGAGACTGGTCTCAAATTTGTGATTCTCCTGCCTCAATCTTCTGAGTAGATGGCACTATAGGCATGCACAACCTCACCCACTTGCATTGCTTTTTACATACCATGTGTACAGAAAAAAGCATGGAAATCTGCTATAAATAGTAGCATGATAGCCAGGCATGGTGGCAGATGACTGTAATTCTAGCGGCTCAGGAGGCTGAGGCAGGAGGATTGTGAATTCAAAGCCAGCCTCAGCAATTTAGCAAGGTGCTAAGCAATTCATTGAGACCCTGTCTCTAAATAAAGTACAAAAAAGCATTGGGGATGTGGTTCAAAGTGGTTGAACTTCCCTGTGTTCAATCCCCAATACCCCCCAAAAATAGTAGCATGATAGACAGATCTACACCCAGTTTAAAGGAGTTAGTAGTCCCTCATGGGGACAGCAGTGGATATAAGAAAAGAGAAATCAGATGTTGAACATATGAAGAGACCCAGTAAAAAATTGTGCAGAAATCTTTTATGAAGAGTCAGAAGGTGACCTGATGCTTCATAATTGGCCAGAAACCAAAGATTGGGAGTTTTATTGGGAGGGGCAAAGAATTTGAGTGGGTGACAAACAGAGAAAACAATAATGATTGGGTGGAACAGAGAGAGCTGGCAAAGATGAAGACAGAGATTAGCCCAGTAATGTCTGAGGCAGAGTTTTATAGATAGTTGTCTGAGGAGTGGAGAATTAAGAGGGAGAGAAAATATGTACAGAAAAACTATAGGCAGTACATCAGCTTAACTGTCCAAACCAAGTAAGCAGTTTCTGGTAGTCATAGCAACCAGAGCATGGATTGGGCATAGCAACCAGGAGAGAGTCTTCTGTGCCTAACAGGCCTGTGGGTAGGCAGGATGCTACAATGAATGCATCCATTACCAACATTATACAGAAGTACAAAAAATTAGTCTGTGACCCCCTTTTCCAACTCTGTGTTAGATTTGAGCTTCTCTTCTATCAATGGCTGGTCTTATCTGGCCATATCTCCCAAGAGGGACTCGTTTATAAACAGTCTCACAGTAATATAAGAAAATTCTGGAAGGAGAGGTGAAAAGCACGGCTGAGAAAAAAGGAGAAGAGCTCACACAAAGGATGCCAACGATGTCTCACTAGACCCAAAGTGCAAAGGAACACTGATGGACACTTCCTATGGGCCCTGGACTCCCCTAAATGTGCTGAATGCCCTCCAAATACAGCTCAAAGTCTCTGCTAATGCACAAGTTCTCTTCTACTTAGAGCCCATCAGTGCAGAGACTCTGAATATGTGGATTCATAGCATGAAGAGTTGAACTCTGGACACAGTGATGATATTTTGAAGATATTTGGCAATGTGATTAGCCATAAGAAAAAAAAATCACTTTTGTATGGCTAAGTAGAAAGGCATAATCCTTTCTTCTCACACACACACACACACACAATTGAAAAATATTCCAGATCCAGAGTGGAATTAATCTTCTCAAATAAGCAGTTTTCACCTACCTTATGAATGTCAAATATTTTTTCTGCAAAAAGACCATTGGCAATGCTGAGTTCATAATCCTTGTGGGATGAATTTATATCAGAAAGAACTCTTTTCAATTGATACTGGAGTCCTGGCTGCTATTAAAAGATGTGTTAAAAAAAAGTTGTTTAAAAATTTATTCTTGAACTTTAGGTATATGCATAATCTTAAGTACCTGTGAAATAAAACATGTACATTATACTATAAAAGAACTCAAAATGATGCTATAAAAGCAGCAAGTGATGCCATATTCATATCCAATGTTTCACCCTTCCTCATAATAATGTCTGTTATCAAATTTGAAAATTTACTGAAATGAACTTAGAATAAAACTGTTCATACGAAGCAGTTTGTTTAACATGTGTGCCAAATAATTGATTTTACCAACATGTTAACTGTGATAACGTAGGAGAAAGGCATATAATTTAGATTCATTTGAACTTAACAAAATCTGGCCAAAACACAAGTAAAATATTTGTAAATTAATAATTAACAAGTAACTTTTCAAAAATTTTATTTGAAATATCTGGGGATCTAGAACAGGCTTCATTGTTTAAAAAAAGAGAGAACATATTAAAATATATTCATTAAACAATAATTCTTCTCAATTTAGTCTCATTCTCTTTTTTAAAAGATCATATTGTCTTTACCTGGTTGTTGGAAGAGTTTCCACGTCCTATGTTATAATAAAGGGTCTACAAACAGAACAAAGGAGAGTGGTTGTCAGAATCAGAGATTACCAGGGAAATGGCTGACAAGAGACCTTATAGATAAAAGTATGTCTTTCCCAATACATTTGTCTAATTGCTATTCCAAGTTCACCAGTATCCTAGAGTAATGCTCACCATCACTAGTGAGCTGAGAAGGAGAGAAGCATGTTATAGCTTTATTTTTCATTTCATTTTTTTTTCTTTCTGCACATGATGATTTCTCTCAGCGTCACCAGGATTTTGGAATTCATGTTAATACACATAAACACTACAGTGACTGGCTTCCAGAAAAACATGCTCATGGGTGGTGCATTCACACTGGGTGCTAACGCTATGTTGCCCACTGGGCCTAGCGTCACACGGAACAGAAAGCATATTAGAACATTTGAACCTGAACCCAACAGTTTACCATATAGTCAACGAACTCTGCCAAAGTCCTTACGAAATAACTCAAGATACCTGCGAACTGTTTTATGATCTGTTGAATGACTCAGCCTCTTTTTAAAATGACCTTGTAGTTATCCTTTTAGCATTTAAGTCAATATAAATTAGGTCCTCCACTCATGAGTTTGTTTAACATTTATTTATGTTTTACCTACTAGATTCCCACACAACTTATTTTTAAGTAATTCTTGAAACATATAACCCATCAGCATTTCCTACTGATTATTATCTCTAAATTTCTTGAAATTTCATTTTATAAAATAACCTTAATCTTTGCTTTTATTGGCTAGGTCCTAAAACACTGTGTCCTTCCCATTTGAACACTTGAAGGACTTTCTCTCTTCCTTTTCTTCCTGCCCCCAATCTTACAGAAGTCTCAATATGTGTAACTTCCCCTAATTTTCAAGTTACTAGTAATACAAAACTCAGCACTGTGTGAATACATGCCTTACTTTATCCAATAGATTTCAGCACAGATTGCTAACACTTTAGTGTTGTTCGTTTTACCCACACATTGTCTCAAACAATGCACAAAACAAATTTAGTTAAGGTAGTCACTTGTATTGACCAAATTTTAAAGCTACATTTTGTGTATCAGGTATGATTTTGATTATGAAAAGAACATTTCAGTCTGATAGAGCGTTTCCTCATCTATTCTCTGCACAGAGAACAGTCAAAACTGTTTTCAATAAAACCCACCATCACTGCTGTCACCTCCCCCAGCAGCCCTGCCCTCTGGGCCAGTGTGGAAGCTTGACTCAAGGTCACACTATGGTGGCTTCAGACAAAAGAAGAGAATTTTTTAGACTCTATCAAGATTATGCTTACAGAGGTTTGTCAAATATAAAATGTTATAAATCTGCAGTTTTATATTAAATGAGTTTATTGTTTTTTAAAAGATATGTTATATTCATGATAAAATAGAACTAGAAAACAATTTTTTTCAGTTTAAAAACTTCCTTACTTATGCTAGTAAGTATAAACATCACTCCTGCATTAAAGTATAGTTTTGACAAGCATTAATTATTTTTTATTAATATATTTATTCTAATATGGTATATGTGACAGCAGAATGCATTTTGATTCATTGTACACAGTTGCAGCACAACCTTTCATTTCTCTGGTTTTACATGATGTAGCATCACACCATATGTGCAGTCACACATGTACCTAGGTAATGATGTTCATCTCATTCCACCATGTTTCCTGCTCCCACAGCATTAATTCATTGCAAGTGGATTTTGTTCCAATTGTGAGTGATTAACATATCACATATTCATCTGCAGAAAGACTCAAAATTTTGAACTAGAACCTTAAGTGACCATGTACCAGAGGCCCTTGGACAGTTCTGGGCTGGCAGTGCACAGCAACACCAGTACTTTATGAAGGAAAAGGCTTCCTTCATAAATCTGTAGGTTTGGTAAACTGACATTGTGAGGCTGCAGAACTGAAAGCCACAAGTCAACGCAGACCACAAGAAAACGTGTGTGTGTGTGTTATGATGAAGAAAATATGTAAAAGTAAGATATCATTTTAATCTTAAACTTTCACTATATTATGAGAATCTTACTCCTTTCCAACATTTCTACTAGATAAAAGAATAATTCACCCTCACTGTCTATATCAGAAAGGAAGAACACAATTGGCTGCTCTCGCTGTCAATCATCAAGTTTAAGAGGCTGGCCAGTCACTTCAAAGGAGAGCAGCAGAGGCCACAGCACATCCACTGAGCTTTTCAGTAAACAAAAATTCCCTGGATTCCCTTTAAATGGAAGAGCAGAGAGGTATCCAGGTACACTCAAAAGATTTATGAACTTTTTTGATGGATGCTGAATATATGAATTTTTGGAGATCTTGGGGTTCTGAAATGTTCATTCTCTGTCTCAGAGAAAAGAAAATCACATCATAATTTGAAGTCCAGCAAAAATAAGAGCTTTCCTGCCTCTTTTGGCAAAAGCAAAATAAAACAAAACAAAAAAAGCTTTCTAAAACATACTGGTGGCCACACGAAACAATGAATTTAAATTTTAATGTACTGTTGAGTAAAGGCAAGGATTCCCCTCTTATAATAGCTTATATGTTGAAAATGGTTTACTGATTTGATAGTTCCTCATTCCCCCCACCCCAGGAAATTTTACTCATAAGTTAGGATTAGTGATCCAAAATTCTCAAAGAACAATGAATTTTGTCCTTCAAATAGAAAAGGGTTTCCCTTAAGAAATGTCCTAAAACATCATTGTTAGCCTGCCTTGTGGCCATCATGGTATTAGCTCCTGGAGCTGGAAATCTGTGATGTTTCCACATTACTAAAACTAGGGCTGAGGTTGTTGCTCAATGGTAGAGCGTTCGCCTCACATGTTTGAGACCCTGGGTTCGATCCTCAGCACCACATAAGGATAAATAAGTGAAATAAAGGTATTTAAAACAGAGATAAAAAGCAGAAAAATATCATCTGAAGAATATAATAAAGTAGAAGATAAAAAAAAAACTTTGTACACTCAAAACGGCAGTCTTTTATAAAGAATGTCAAAAGAAGTAAATGATCTACCAGCCTTTTATAAATTTACATAAAGAGTTAATATCCACAACAATAATCAGAATAATATTTCAAGTCATCTTTGAAAAGAAAAGGGTATGCAATGTTGACAAGATCCTGACATATCAACACACAAGATGATTTTAGAAAGGACTGCGTTTGAAACCCGGGAAGGACTTCCTAGCCACAGTGACCCAGGTAATTTTTTCCAGATTCCAGAAAAAGTCAGAATGAGGTTTGGAGGAGCAATCAATAGCCTCATCCCCAGCCCAGAAAGATCCTCTCGGCTGGTCTTCCCAGTCCTTTGCTTTAGGGAATAAATGCTGTTGATCTTTAACAAAATCAACTCAGACACATCCACAAATACTAGAGAGGCAGAGACCAACCTGTGGGAGGAGGCAGCAGAGGCCACGAACATGGGCCTTCCACCTGTCTGCCTCCCCTCCCAGCAGGTGCAGCAGGACCATGGCCCAGCACAGGGTCTTCACCATCATGAACTTCTAACAGGACGGTTTAAATCTCAACTATTGCCCCCTTGGCGGTGCCAAACAGCTCATTCAGAGACCACAGAGGGGACAGTACTGACAGATGGGTAACAATAAAGTGGGTCAGACTTCTAGCCTGTATTTCATCACTGAACAAGAAAAGACCTGGTGAACAACAGCAACAACAGTGACAACAGGTTGGTGAGGAGATGAATATGTTAACTGGCTTGATTTAATCTTTCTACAGGTATGCATCAACCAAAACAACAATTTTTATTTGTCAATTAAAATTAATTCACTTTAAAAATAAAAAAATAAAAAGTTAACTTTTTTTTAAAAAAAGATAGTAGTGAAATAAAATAAGGAGTGGAGACTTTGTTGGTGGTGGTTGTGTTGATGGGTTAGTTGGCTGGTGTGTATGGCAGGATGTAAAAGTACATAGCCTGACTGACGTGGTAAAACAGATTATTTATCAAGAAAACATAAATTGGAAGAGTCAATTCAGTGGCTGCAAAATTAGAAGTGCTTAATATTTTTGTTTGTGCATTCTGAGGAGCAATTTAATGATTACTTCATGATTCAACCTGGGCAATATTGAAAAGAATAAAATAAAAAAATGGAAAATTTCATCAATTGGGAGGCAGGAATAGGATTAATTATATAGATATAAAAGTCAAAAATAGTCATTGAATATCTAGGAAATATAAGATATAAAGCTCAATCAGGACTTGAGAGATAAAATTTAAGATCCTACCATTACTTAAAATTAGGCAATTTTAGATTTTCCTTTTTCAATGTGGCTCATATTATAACCCATTTTTCTAATAGTGTCTACTATGCCCAAGTGTGATTTCCTTTTGGGCTTTGTTTGAGTTTTCCCTGGGTCCTCCAGGCTATGAGATCTGAAATGCAAAGGGTCACTCTACTAGGAAGTGATAAAACGTACTGTACCTGGGGTAACAAGTCATGGAATTATTGAGACAGAATGAACATGTGTCACCCCAGACATGGATGAACCATACCCAGGGGCAGCCATGGACTCATTCCACTTCTGTCCCTCCAACCAACTGTAGGAAAGGTCTAAATAACTGCTAGGCAAAGGTGGATATGTCCTGCTGCACCAGTTTATAACTGCTGGAATCATGGTCATGTTTCTGTAAAAACAAAAAAAGGTGTGGGTTTTCTTAATGTGGTCATATGTGCTTTGTTTGACCACATCTCTAGTTTGAGAGGGTAGATTTGGGGTAAGGAGGACCATTCTGATGCTGGGGTAAATAAATTTTGTATGGAACCAACTAAACCAGCTAGTCTCTCTGGGAAGGTTTTCAACTAAAAGACATCAGACACCCAATAAACAATATCACCTTATTGACTAGGGGGAAAGTGGAACCACTCAGAAAGAGGTATGAAAACTTAAAAAGGCTATGATTGTCCACCTTAGTCTTAATAGGCTACAGAGAATCTGAACCTACCTTAATTTCTACTTCATCTTAATCTAGAATGATAATATGAGAAGGCGAACTTGATACACAAATTAGTCACTTAAAATTCAGAAGTAAGAGGGCTGGGGATATATCTCACTTGGTAGAGTGCTTACCTCTAATGCACAAGGCCCTGGGTTCAATCCCCAGTGCCACAAAGAAAGAAAGAAATTCAGAAGTAAAGTCTCTGCAGACATCACAGTGGCAGTCTGGAGTTCTCGTATCCCCTGGGGTCCCTTATCTCCTAGCTCTGCTGTTGTGGAGCATGAAGAACATCAGTCTCCATTCCCATTTTGCCTTGGCCAGATATATGGATTTTCAATGCCTTAAAAAATATTGTCATCATCTTTTCCCAATGGATAGAAATAATGAAATCAGGGGTAGAATATGTTTAAGGACTCTGGGTTCTTAAACAACCCTTCCTTTGTTTTATAGTCAACGTCATCATGACTGTGACTCCAACAGAGTTGGCAACCTATCATTAGGACAAGAAAGTTCAAACAAGGACCTTACTCCTCCATGGAATTGTTTATTTTTTGCTTCACCAAGGGAGGAAATAAAAACATGAATCTGTATAACTTGGACTGTGTCATTATAATTGCTTCATTCTTGTGGCTTTGTGACATCTGTCTTAGAAAATAAATATTTTTGCTCCCAAAATGTAAGCTCTCTATTCACCTCACAGATTGTTTCTTATGCCGAATGTTTTCTTTGATATAAGGAGGCTGATTCATAGTGGGATAGGGAGATGGAGCATAGGAGGAATAGACAAAACTCTATAAAGGGCAGGGGGTTGGAGGGGAAGGGAGGGGGCATCGGATAATTAATGATGGTTGAATGTGATGATCATTGTTATCCAAAGTACATGTATGAAGACAGGAATTGGTGTGAAAATACTATGTATACAACCAGAGATATGAAAAATTGTGCTCTATATACATGTAATAAAAATTTTATAATGCATTCCACTATTATATATAAATAAAAAAAGAAGAAGAAAATAAATGAAGTTTGCCTCTCAGTACACCCAAAATGAAAAGGAAATGTTGCAACTGGAAGTCATTGCTGTCAATCACCACAGTTGAAAAAGGAAAGGGAGAGAAAGTCTCTCCAATTTGCATCTACCAACCTTGAACATGAGTAGTCCCTTTGTACCTTTCTCTCTTAAAATGAGGGGACAGGAATAGGAGGGTCCAGTTTCATGATCTTTGAAACAGTTCAGGGAGAAACATGAGAACACTGTGGGAACTATATTTGGTTTTCGCTTAATAATGTCTTGATTAAACTACAAATGCTTTGTAAATTCATATAAATATAATTATAAAGCATAATTTGATGCTAATTTATGTCATAATTTATGTCTACTCTTCAGAATTTTAAGCCTTTACTCATTACCTTCTTAAAAAAAACCCAGTAATTATGTGAAGGGAGAATGAAAAGAATCAGAGGTGTAGTTGTAGGAGTATTCTTGCTGTCTCCTGGCTCAAAAACAAAGTTGGGGCCTGAAGGGGGCAGGGGTTTAGCTCCAGGGCAAAGTTATTGCTTGGTATTCACAAGGCCCTGGGTTCACTCCACAGCACCTAAAAAAATGAATACTACAAACTGCAGAGGGATCCTGGAGATGTGTGAGGATGTGACACCCTGTACTCTCACAATGCCGCCCATTAATATGGGCATCACTGTAGTGAAATATTCTCTCGGGGCAAACAATTTGTTCCCATGATTAATTACAAAAGCTGAGACTGACCTTATCAATTTGCCGTGCACAATTTCCTTGAGCACCCAAACGGACCAGGCTCAGGGCAGTGAAGATGCTCAGAAAGGACAAGAACACATTTTCATTTCCCTGACTGTTGTCCATCTCTTTGAAGAGGTCAAAGCCAAATTCTGCATTTGCTGCAGCAAGGGAGGCCATTGTGAAATGGAGTGCAGCCTAGGAGACAACAGAATTTCAATTAGTTCAGAGATCATTTTCTACGAGCATTGAGATTTTTGTATGCATTTGTTGTTTAAATTCAAAGCTTCATCTCTTCGGACTTAAATGCAATAATCTAAAAGCTTATAACAGAGAGCAAAATTTCCTTTGGCTCAACATTCTTGTTGTCAATACTCTACAACTCTATCCTCAGGCAAAAATATTATGATACACTAATTTTTCTCACATTGATATTCTTCAGTGCAGCATTTCTACATGTGCTCTTCTATTGTCTTATACAGGTAATATTCTTGATTCTCCTTGAGGGGACATTTCTACCCTCAAGTAGCCTTGAGCTACCTGAGCATTTCTATCCTTTTAAGTAGCCTTTGGTTTCAAGTCCCAAGCAGATGCATTCAGGGAATCACAATTTCTCACATCACCCAGTTTGTACTGAAATAGAGCAAAAGTTCTGTTTGAAGTAAACATTACATTATTCCATAGTCTAGCCAAGGTGCTATAGCCTTTGCTTTCTAAAGCACCTGTAACTTAATAGTGTTAAAATTTGGAGGTTAATACATCACTTCCTTATCCCTTCTCTCTACTATGGCCTCCATACACATTGTTAGAGCAATCATTTTACAAAATTTGTTACAAATTTTTTTCAGGACCACCTTAATTTAAAATATTACACATTCTTAGTCCCATAAGTGCATTTATTCTTTTAAGACAATTTTCTGATTCTCATTGAATTATGTGGTTACTATAGTATTTATCATGGACATAAAAATGTTTCAACACACAGATCTATCACTCAGTAGAAAACCAGGTCTGCAGTAGCAAATTTGGAATAGAGAATGAAAATCAGATTATCTTTAAATTCTGGAAAGTGTTGTTTCTAAAACACAGAAGACTGACACCCCCGTGACATTTTCAGGAATCTATGTTGGTATTTCTTCGAAGAATTTTTCCACAGCTCAATGATCTTAATACCACAGTTCTGGTTGTCTCAGACTAAATGAACTTGCATGGATGCTCCTAATTATTCCCTTTGAATATGCCATGATATTACATCTAGTGACATTTCTAAGAGTCATAAACCTTAGGAGGCCCAGTCCTACTCTCAATCTTGCTGTTTGAAGTTGTGTGACGTTGGTCAAGTCCTTCATTTCTCTGAGCTTCTAAGATGCACCATATCTCATGAGATGATCTGTTGATCTGAGAGGATCTAGCTTAGCTGTGCTCAACTATTATGATGTTCCCCTCTTATTGGGTAGAAGATAGATAAATGTATGATGTTCTGTTGATTATTTATGACTGCAACCAAGTCAACACATAATGCCTTTAAAGTTACAAGTGAGAGAATTTTGTTTTATTTTTATCAATTGAGACCTTGAGTTTTTTTTAATTAACAATATCTATACTAGTAGTAAATAGTCAATAAATCAAAAATGGTAAAAGAGCAATAACCTAATTAGTCCTAAAAGACAACAAATGAGATTTTTCTGGAAAGAGCATTCCTGAGGAATTCATACCATATGCTTTGGAATACCAAGCTCAGAGAACATTGTCGAGGCAAGAGGCCATAAATAATGGTTTCTTAGGGTCAAGTTCAGCTGTTCACCATTCATTGTACATCCCATTCCTCAGATGCACTCCAGGATCATAAGGTAAGAACATCATTTATATCCCACATGCCCTTTATTCTAAGAAAGATCATCTACATATTCTAAAAGTTATCCAGGGCTGGGAGCAGTTCAGTGGTAGAGTGCTCTCCTAGAACGCATGAGGCCCTCGGTTTAATCTCCCCACTACCACCAAAGAGTTAAAAAATAAAATAAAAATTATCCAGAAAAATATTAAATTGATTCCATCTCTAATGCAAGTACTCCAGGGTAAGGAACTGTGGCGGCTGTTACTGACACTACGGGAGAAACCTTGCAGCAAAGGAGGGGAGAAAACTGAAAGCTGGAGGCAGAGTGAGGGGCACCAGTAGGGCTTAAGGCCCCCAAACGATCAGGGGTTCTAAACATATTTTAGACCTAAAATAGGAGTATTGCTTCTTAAATATGAAACAAATAAGATTGACATTAACAAATATGCAATTAAGTCTATGAAAATGAAACAATGATTTTTATATGAAAGTGAGTAGGCATAAGAATCTCATTTCTTTCCGGGGGAAAACGTATGCTAAATTCTCTCCCTTCAAAAGAGTTTCCGAGACTTCATGCTGATTGCTGAAAATCAGAGACAGCACTAGATGAAATGAATCACTCTTAGAAAGTAACTTCCAGAGCAAAAGCCCAATAATCTTTTCCAGACATTGACTGCAAAAATTAGGTTTGGTAGAGGATTATGGGTCTATTTCAACACATTGAAATAATGTGGGTAAGATACTTTAAAATAAGACCTGAAAGATTTTAATGACCCTGTATGGGGACCTGCTTGCACAGTCCCATGGGGGTCTGCAAGCTTCCTGGTACCATATCCCAAAATGCATTTTTCCTTGCTCAAGCCCCAGTTTTTCCGGTTGCTTTGCAAAGTACTACTTTATTCCTTGGAGAAGAAATGCATTTTCCTATTTTTCAACATTATTTTTCAATTACTCTCTAAGCAATAACCACAGATATTCAAATTTGAATTTTTCAGTCATCCTGGTAATTTGCCACAAAACTGTCATACCAAAGAGAAGAAAAGCAACACAGGAATTAGTTCATTCAAGAAACAGAGTACATAATTTTCTTGGCTAAGTTAATCTTATGGCAGAGAAATCATACTAGATTTAAAAATAATTACTGGAAAACAAGAGCCAAGACATTCCTAGACAATTGTAAATTCTCAAGTAATAACTTTTAGAGTGACAGGTAGCACTAAACAGGATGTACTTAAACACCTTTGTACAGACATGTTCACGAATGTTGTAAATAAATTCCAAAAATAAATTCCAAAAATGTTCTTCCCATAATTGCTTTTATTATCTTTTTTTTTAATGCAGATGCACTAGTTTCTAGAAATGAAAGCAAGATTCTTTGCTCTTCATCTGAGATCAAGTCTAAGTCTCAATGGCAAGCAGATAATTTTATTTAAGGCTGAACTAAGGCTCTATGCCCCAAGCGTCCATCAGGGATGGAAGAATCAAAATTAGCATGGGGCCAGAACTGTGATTTTCCTTCTTCCCTTAATTACTTTCACAGCAACTTAAAAACAAATAATTAAAGCACCAGTAAAAAAAATAAATTTTGAAAACCTCAAAGAAGTACCAGATGACTTGGATGGCAGTTAAATAACCAAGACTACTGAAAAGAATATAGATTACATTAAAGCTGCAGAAGATGCCACTGTGACATTCCCCAGAATGCCACTGTGCAGAGAGAGCAGTAAAGAGATTCCTTTCAAATCATAAGAAAACATGGCTTTAAAAGACTAGTTTTTCTTCTCCAAAACATACCATATTTTGATGTTTCTTGTGTAAAAACCTTAGTTTAATATACAACTAGGTAATTAATTTAGAACTTTCATGTTAATGCAAATTAGCCAATACTCATGAAAGTTCTTCTTCCCAAACTTCAGACTTGAGGCCCTCAAACCCCATAGCAGACTGAGACTTACTTGATTACATACAGTAAATTTCAATCCAAGAACTTTTTACCTTTCATTCCTATAGCCAAGTTGCTATTGGTGTTAAAACAATACTGAAGCTTTGTTTTAAAAGTCTAATTTAAGATGTTCATAGCAGCACAATTCGCAATAGCAAGACTGTGGAACCAACCTAGATGCCCTTCAATAGACGAATGGATAAAAAAAAAAGTGGCATTTAAACACAATGGAGTATTACTCTGCATTAAAAAATGACAAAATCATAGAATTTGCAGGGAAATGGATGGCATTAGAGCAGATTATGCTAAGTGAAGCTAGCCAATCCCTAAAAAACAAATGCCAAATGTCTTCTTTGATATAAGGAGAGTAACTAAGAACAGAGTAGGGACGAAGAGCATGAGAAGAAGATTAACATTAAACTGGGATGAGAGGTGGGAGGGAAAGGGAGAGAGAAGGGAAATTGCATGGAAATGGAAGGAGACCCTCAGGGTTATACAAAATTTCATACAAGAGGAAGTGAGGGGAAAGGGGAAAATAATACATGGGGGAGAAATGAATGACAGTAGAAGGGGTAGAGAGAGAAGAGGGGAGGGGAGGGGAGGGGATGGGGGATAGTAGAGGATAGGAAAGGCAGCAGAATACAACAGACACTAGTATGGCAATATGTAAATCAATGGATGTGTAACTGATGTAATTCTGCAATCTGTATATGGGGTAAAAATGGGAGTTCATAACCCACTTGAATCAAAGTGTGAAATATGATATATCAAGAACTATGTAATGTTTGAACAACCAACAATAAAAAAATTAAAAAAAAGAAAAAAAATAAAAGGCATCCAGACCAAAAGTGAAGTCTGAAAGGAAGAAAATCTAGGCAATGAAAAAAAAATGAAGGAAGGATTTATGCATTCCCTGAAGACTGGCACACGGAGGGGTGATGTGATTCACCAGTGAGGTTCACTAGAGTAAAGGGCATGATCTGCTCAGAGTTGTCATCCCTTGGCCCTCGGTTTTCACAGGAACCATCTGGATGGGAGCTTATGTTAAAAGATTTATGTGGGGGTGGGGCTAGGGCAGAACCCAGGGCCTCAGGCTTGCTAAGCAAGCACTCCACCACTGAGCTATACTCCCAGCCTGGGAGTTTATGTTCAATCAATCTACAATCCTTTGGATATTTAATAGACACATAACTTTAAATTTAGAAATACAATCTAAGAGGCCATCAATAGCAGATTGTTTAGAAAATTATAGCATACCCACAATAAAGTCTTTCAGAGATTTGTAAAACAAACTAACAAAATATTATTGTTATATATATATGTATATATATGCACTGATATTGAATAACTGTCATAATTTATTATTAAGTGAACAAAATGAAATGTCTAGCATATAATATGCTA